TTTCATATATTTTTTTAATTAAAAGAGGGGTTAACTGGCAAAGGAACAAGCTGCTGGAGACAGAGCAGATTAGGGAAGTCAAAATGGCCTCTTTTGAGAACAGCAGTAGTGTAAAGTTTGTGATGCCAGGATGTTACAACATAATCAAGAGCCCTTCCTCACCAGCAGGAGGGCTAACATTCTGGGTTTTTAAATCCAGCTCGCATGCATTGAGCAAACAACAGTATTATTGCAAGCCTTTGCTAGTCCTAACTGCCTGCTATGCTCCTCTGCCTTTCCACGACAGAAGGAAACATGTGCTTGCATCTCCATAGTTCCATTTCCTGCCAATACAAATGCACCATCACTGTGAGGCTGATGCCAAAATAGAAGAAGAGCAAATAGCTTGGGGAGGACAGTCCTGAACCACTGCTGGAAGATTCATAAGAGGCTTCATCTTCCCCCCTAGCAACGGCATTTCTTACCCAGACTGGAATCTCCCATCATACCTAATATTTTGCATTTCAGGACACATTCCCACTGCCCAAGACATTTAAGTTTAGCTCCAGAACAAAACAAAGAGCAGCCAGCTCTTGGCTTGTCTATAATACTTGAAACAGACCAAAGTATGGGAAAAATACAGTAGTCATTCAGGTATGGAGTTGCTTCTCTAGAAAAAGCACACTATAAATGAGAGTGGGCAGCAGTACTGATAGGTGTGTCTGCTCCAGCCCCATCATTGAAGTTTATGAAGCAACTCATTGACCTTTAGGACTGTCATGGTTTAACTCCAGCCAGCAACTATGCACCGCAGAGCCGCTCGCACACTCCCCCTGCGTTGGGATGGGGGAGAGAATCAGAAGAGTAAAAGTGAGAAAACTTGTGGGTTGAGAAAAAGACAGTTTAACAGGAAAAGTGAAAGCAGCATACACAAGCAAAGCAAAACAAAAAATTCATTCACTGCTTCCCATCAGCAGGCAGGTGTTCAGCCATCTCCAGGAAAGCAGGGCTCCATCATGCGTAACGGTTACTTCGGAAGACAAATGCCATCACTTTTAATGTCCCCCCCTTCCTTCTCCTTCCCCCAGCTTTATATGCTGAGCATGATGTCATATGGTACGGAATATCCCTCTGATCAGTTGGGTCAGCTGTCCCAGCTGTGTCCCCCCCCAACTTCTTGTGCACCCCCAGCGTCCTCGCTGGTGGGGTGGGGTGAGAAGTAGAAAAGGCTTTGACTCTGGGTAAGCACTGCTCAGCAATAAGGAAAACATCTTGGCATTATCAACACTGTTTTCAGCACAAATCCAAAACATAGCCCCATACTAGCTACTATGAAGAAAATTAACTCTATCCCAGCCAAAAGCAGCACAAGGACTCAGCCACACTCAGTAATCCCGAACACAGGCACTGTTGACTTTACTAATAAGATTATTCCCCTAATGTCTACATTACTCAGCCATTTAACACAAGTCTGCTATTTGAGATGGCAAGAGTAAACTAGGAGATGCTGATTAGAAGTATGTGAAATTACACACTATCATCTGGCAACTAGCATGCTTTCTTAAAGATTATACAGGATATTCTATACAACTATTCACAAGAGTAAACATAGCCATAAAAGCCTGTAACAAGCAACTGTTGCCTGCTTTACATCTTAAGGCAGAGAATGGACCATACTGCAGAATGACACTGCACAGACTATATTCCCTTTAGCAAACATGATAACTGTTAATCTTTAAAGAATGAAGATTTTTACAACACAGACTTCATTTTACACTAACTAAAACCCCTGAATACTCAAACTTCATTTTACACTAAATATATACCCTGAATAATCAATATTCACTTAACACAGAGTATCTGTAAAACATAAGGCAAGTACAGTTGATAAAAATTCTCCTTCATGTAACTACACTGCTTTCATAAATATAAAGTTCTACAACACATATTCAGATATAACACCAGACAGTAGAGCAAAGTAGCAGTTGATAAGCACCTATTTATCAGTCCAATGAGTATCTGATCAGGGGTAGGCAGAATACATACAGGTTTAGCCAGAGGTAGATATTAAAGCAACTGAAAAGAGATTTCTAATGCAATGGTGAATGTAACTGTCATTCTATCATTCTTCTCTTTCCTTATTACAAGTGTACAGTGCACCAAACGTTTAAGTTTCAGTGTTTGGTCAGTAAATCTCCTTGATTCCTCCTAAGGCTCCTTAGCCCTTTTCCCACAGCTACATTCACCTCCCTCGTGAAATAAATAAATAAAATAAAATCAAGCCCTGTTCTCTGAACGTCAGATACTCAAATCTTATACAGGTCAAGGATGTTTTTGTTACCACACCCATTTTTTTTTTTAACCTCTCAATGCCCTTTGATCAGGGCTGTTGTTACAAAGGCTAGGAAGAGCTTTGCTACAGCTGATATTATCTGCAGCACTAACAGCAGAAACCTGAAACATTCATGCTGCCAGCTGACACAACACTAGGCTTCTGCAAGGCACTGCAAAACCTTTAAAATAATTTTAATTGCATAAAAATGGGCCAAAGAGGCAACGACTAAAATAAAACCTCTGTTCTGAAGTACAAGAAGAAAAAAGGGAAAAAAAAAAAAAAGGGAGGCTGTGACCATTGCAAAACCATTACAGCAAAGGAGTTATTATTTTAATATCTAATATAATGTGATAACTATTTCAATATTGTACACAGTAAGCCTCAACACATGTGGGACATTAGTATTATTACTGAAAAAAAAAAGAAAAAGCAAAAAAACCAGAGAACACTGATGTTTCCCCTTCTCTTTTTGAAGATCTATTTTCTGTATTCTTACAGCGTACTTACCTCTAGAGTATTTCGAGTATATTCTCCTATTGCACTAAGCTGCAGCGCATTATGGCTCCACAAATGCTGGCTATTTTCAACTTCCTGCCAGGGAGAAAAGCACACACAGGAACAAGGCTCTTCTGAATAACTAGCTTAGATCTTCTTAACACATCCATTGCTTTGCTGGAAGTTGAAGAAGGCAAGGTCAAACAAAAGTTCCTTGTATTCAGTGCAAGTGGAAAGGTTTGCTGTAGTTCTTACTTATGAAGGAGTTTATTAATTGCAGACTGAATGTGTCTCCCGCACAGGAGAATGCTCACCTCTCTAATGTTCCATTTCACTGAGATGACTGACGCATTTCACCATCATTATGTATAAACTTCCTCTCTTTATGAATATTCAGACTCCAGCAAAGTTAAAGAGGAAATTTTCAACAGTATAAAGTAATTACTTCCAAGTTTATGCTCAAATCCTGTAGAGAACAGTTCTGGGATATAATAGAAGTAATTTCGTTTTATCAAATCGCTTCCATTTCACATCAAATCTACAGTCGACATGCATCATAGAAGATCACAGTCAAACATGAAGAGAAAGTAAACTCCACAAGTCTCAAGCCTGTTCACGTTTAACCTTCTTTTACAGAACAATGTTAAGAATGCAGAAATAATCTCTTAACAAACTAAATAATTTCACTTAAATGCAATGGGCTAGGCTTCTACAGCTAGTTATCTAACACGTGCATTTTCTTCCAGGAATGCTCTTGCTGTGTACCTGGAACTAATATTTGCAATAATCAAAATATACCTTGCATAGGAGGTTTGAATAAAGCTGATTTTGTCTCTGTACAAGTTTCTCACAACCACATAAATAACCACCCAGTTCCTAAGGAAAGAGGATATATCAGGAGAAAGCATTTTGACTCAAACCTCTCCTCTCCCACAAAACTGGCATTCAGATTTTCACGAAAAAACAATCTACATGTACCTATGTAAGTTCCCATATTTTAATGAAAGACACAAAAGTCAAACATCTTTGCAGAGAACAAACAACTGGTAGAGGTTCTTACATTCAATCCAAAATAAAGTATTAAAGAAGTTGCTTCTATAGCAGTGACTTGATTCCACAAATTTCAGTTGTTACAGCAAACATCGTCATCAATTATTTTTTATATTTTGATTAAAGTTATCAGACATGAGAACACTTGCCTTAAAGTGAATTTTAAAAAATGAGTAATGACAAATATAGCCTCTTTGAGCAATATATTGAAAGATTTCTGTTTTTTAAATGGAATCTCTGCATTGATCACAAAAGTCGCACCTATTTTAGAGACACTGATGAACAAAATTGTGTTAACATTGTAAGACAACACATTATGGATAGAAAGCGTTTTAACTGGTAAATGAAGGATTTCAAGTTTCTCCTTTAACAGTATAGGATACTGCAGAAAGCACTGCAATATATATCACAGCTTTTGCTTCAAGATTTTGCATGTTAAATTATTGAATCTATACTGTTTTCCATCACCATATGTTAAAGCTTATTACCTGATTATTCTATTATCACATTTAAGTTGCAGCCAGCTTAGCTCTATTATGTCATTATATCTGCAAACAATTCAAAACATTCCCAATATAATATGTCATATTAGTTTGAAACATTAGTAACAGTATTCTGCCTTATTTTGAATTCTTCCCAGATAAATACCTACCCAGTCTTTAAAATCATTGTTGAACACTCTGTGTGTGGCTGAACAGAAATAGTGTAGAGCTAACAGCTACCTCAAAGGTTACTGATGCAACTAATAACAACAGAGATTTAAATTACTTTCTCCTCAAATTCATCCAGAATAGAAGGATTCTGAAACATTCCCTTTCTGCCACCTTCACTTCAAAGTAAGTATTTTTTTATTCACTTCTGGCTGAGATTCTTTATTACTTAATGCCTATGCAAATGGAGAATTTGTCTTTTATACCTTACCTTCCCAAGAGACTGAATGTTTTCAGGGCAGTGAGTCTTTTCAGAGAAGAAATTTACTATGGACAGCCTTTCAAGTTTTAAATATATACCAACAAAAATCAAGGCACTCAATGTAGTTATGTATAAGAAAAAAATTATATTACTGAGAATAATAAGCCCAAATCACAAAACGAGATTATCAGCAAGCATGCAACTGGGAATAAGGTGAAATCTCATTCTTTTACAGCTTTGGCTTGAACTTGCCAGAAAGAAACTTTTTAAGCATTTCAGAATTTTTTCCTTCTGGTGGTGAGGGCCATCTGTCATGATCTGAGGAAAACAAATAAAACAACATACTTAGTTGATTGAGAAACTAGGCAATTTACTTTTGTGTCCTCCCATTGCCCAGCTTCAATCATTTGAAGGGCATTATTTTGTAGCCCATTTCTTACCAGGTATATCTAGGACATTGCTGTATAAACTTCGGCCACCATCCACGACCATGGTTATCCCAGTTATGTAAGAAGCAGCTGGAGACAGTAGGAAACACACTGCAGGAGAGATCTAACAAAAGAACAACAATTTTAATCTTTCTTAAACTGCTGGGAATTGTTCATGTCAAAGATGCTTGCAAAAACATTTACAGGCAAGACATAGCAACATTTTCTATTCAGTAATGAAAATTGTAACAGTCTTAAAGCCATCTTTCCAGCCAAATATCAAGTCCGTAACAGATGAAAATGAGTAAGCTCTCAAAGATCAGCATCAGATGCCAAAAATCAAACAAAAAACTTGACTAGTTTATCAAAGATGCACATTCTTGGTGGAAGAGAGATAAGTACTTTTAAGACAGACTTTTTTCACATTAATTCATTCTTCAAGTCCTCCCTGCTGGAAGTCAACCTTTTCAGACTGACTTCACTAGCTGTAAGAGGCATCTAAATTAAATTTTAACAGTGACTACTGGTTAAGTCTCCCACTTGGCACTACTACACATTACTACAAGCTTTTTTCTTTTTTAATATTCCATCACAGTGCAAAATTAAGTCTTTTTTGTCCTCCATATAATAAAGTAGCTTCAAAATAGAGACACAGAAGTAGAAACATTACAAATGCTCTGAAATACATTACCTCTTCAGGAACTGCAAACCTCTTGGCAGGAATGTTTGGTATGCTCTTTAACCACATAATTGTACCTTCTTCTCCATAGTTTGCAACAGCAGTTTCTGAAAACACTATTCCCTATTTCAAAACAGCATAGTGAAAATTAAGTTGTCTTGCACATTTTTAAACTGTGATCATTGTAAAATTGTGAAGTTGTCATTACTGGGATTTTCTGTGGGATTAAACTATCTAAACAGCACTTGAACACAAGCTTTTAAAATTAATGGAATAGTACAATTTATACAAGAAGGTAATTTGGCCTCTAGCCACATCTCTATTCAAGCACAATAATTCAGATTATTCCAATTCTCCACTGTCACTTTAATAACCATAAAGTGGAGAGTATAAAGAGAGTCAAAGACTCTTTTGAAATTACAAGCATTTTGTATTAGCTTAGAGTAGAAAACTACAAAGCCCGAAGAACAAGTTCTCAACAGTTTCTCGTAATCTTTAAGAACACTAGATTGATTTTATTGTGAATTATGGAAGCAGACAGATTTCACAGACAGAATTCAGACTCTCCCTACTTAGCTGCTATAGAAATAGAAAAAGGTGACTGTCTTTGCTCTGATGATTACACAGTCCAGTTTAGACTTGAGAGGGAAGATGAATGTAGCATGCTACAGCAATGGGAACACAGGGCTACATAGATTAGTTATGACAGAACTTTTGGGACTCAAGTTTAAGTAAGATAACAAAATTTTAATCTGTCCATGGAGTACATGCTAAGATTTCTCTTCTAAGATATCTGTGAAATGTAAGTGACTATATTTTGGGAGTTAGGGAAGCAACTCACATGTGAAACTATTTTTTTTTTTTTTTAGAATGCATGTTTCCCTCTCTATGTATCCATTGCCTACATGTTACTCTGCTCCTATAAAGCAGTACAGTTTTGTACGGTTACCACAGACCTAGTGTGTCCATGAACGTGACAGAAGGCTATAAAGTGTTACTGTAACTACAATGTGGATTTTTGTTACTAGCATAGTAACAAAGCTAGCAAATAGTTCTGAAAGAGCCAAAACACTAGAGTGTTTGCCTTTCAAAAACTTCTTTTGACACGTGCTATAAAGTATAATTAGTATGATTCATTAGGTAATTAGCATGCCTGAAAAATATATCACATAATAATGCTGTCTTAATTACTTACTTCCCCAAGACTTGATACATCAGAAGAAACAAATAGACAGAAAAACCAAGCCAGTAGATCTTAATATTTAACAAGCCTGCAGATGAGTTGGGCCTCACAGAGGCTACCTAAGAGCCACTACCTAAATGATCATCACACATCTGCCATTAAGTGTTCCATGCTACGCCAAAGAAAGCAAGCCAGATGTTTTAGGACAAGAGGCACAACAGGATATATAGACATCCTACAAAGACTGTAGAAAGATCTTCCTAGGGACCAGTTAAACAAATCTAACACTTAACTATACTGTGAGATAAGATAAATTCTGAACGTAGAAGTAGCTGGACAAAGTTTACCTTTCCTCTTTCATTTTCAAGGAAGTAAATGTGCAAAATAAATTGTGGTTAAGAGTGAAGATTACACAAATCACAACAGATCACACAATCTCAAATGTTGAAGCTAGAGTTTCTATATAACCTCTATATCTGCACTACCATGCACTAGAAAATATAGCTGCTCTTTCCATACAGCTATTTAAAACAACTGCTACACGCTACCTACTTCCTCAGAAATGCGGCAGGCATATTTTAGCTGACCTGTATAGTGGTTTCCTGTCTGCATGTATTTGATAAGAAAAAAATCAGAACACACATTTTTACATCTAATTTCATTAAGAGAAAGTCCACTCCAAATACGGTCTTTTTACGCCTAAAACTAATCTAACCTAACACATAGAAAGGAAAGTAAAAGACATTATGTGACACATTCAGAGATTTTAAAAATAACTTTGTAAACACAGGTGAAAACCATCAGCATACCTGAACCTCACACAGAAAAAGTTTTGTGAACATAGAAATAATGTAGTCATTACTGAAACACAAAGCATTTGGTAATTTTATGTCAAGGGTTTGTAAGACAGGTGACCATCTCCTCCTAGGTATCATTTCATTAAGCTAGGAAAAAACCAAGAGTGCCAAGTCAAAGCAGAAAGCAGAAGCAATTTCATCCCACATCTCTGGCTCGTCATCCAAACAGCACAAAACACTCTCAAATTGACCTGAAGAACATAGATGAGGGAATTATAAATAAATAAATAAATAAATACATAAATAATCCACAAACAGTTACAGGCTATAGATTTTAAAATCCATTTTGGTCTGGAAGTTTTAACCATGAACATGTATGATGGCTAAGTTTAATCAGATCGTTTGCCATTACTTACAGGAGCAATGCTGTTGATTCTTACTCCGCTGTGGGCCCATTCTAAAGCTAAAGTCTTGGTTAGGTTATTCACTGCGGCTCTTGCAGCTCCTGTATGCCTATGGAGAAAAGAAAGCAAAAGAAGCATCTGTTCCCCCAGCTAACAGTGCCCGATGTTAATTCTACTGCAGCCTCACTAGGGTAGTCAGAGCAGCTTTCTATGGCTGGATCAACCATCTGAGAGAGAGAGATTTTCTAGTTTGTAAGTTTGACCATAGCTTCACAGTTTAAACAAGCTATTCTATGATTTCCTGTTATTTCTGGAAATGCTTATCATCTCTTCCCCAATGTGACATGAGGTCAGCTACATCATACTGCAGAAGCAGGCTTAGAAAATGAAAAACAACTGGAGGCAAAGTTCAAACTGTGTAAAACTACAAAAAGTAGGCTGCATAGTTAAAGCAACATATGGAAGGATAGTGGCCTGAAAAACAGTTTAGACCTTCTGACAAACATGATTAAAATAAGCCACTATTCAAAAATTACTATAGGTAGATGGAGATAGAGACGACCATAGGCAGAGTGATCTCATATACCTTGCTGCTACAGGAAACTAGTCTGAAATGATTAAAAGCTTGAACAAATGCAGATAAAATTACTGAAGTGATGAATAGTGGACCGTGGGAATCAGAGAAAACTAAGAGAGTTTAGTTCCTTTAGCCTAGCAAAACAGACTTATACAATACCAGGAAAGGAATAAGAAAAACTTAATAAAAACATAAGAAAACCCAACTTATTCATATGTTTAGGCCAGAAGTAAATAACCTCCAGGCACATTATGAGAAAACACACTTGACCAGTTTTATGTTTAAAATTAATAGTTATGAAAAACTGCACCAGGTGATTTTTGGCATGAGTGGTGGCTGGACTTGTAAAGGCAAGTCTTTTTCAAAAGTACTTTTCTAAAACAAGTATCAATTCAACAGGAATTTAATTTTAAAGTAGTTTTGTTTATCAATTGACATCCACAGACGACAGTTACTTGAGAAACTTTATTCCACTGTTATTCAGAATTAGGTTTTTTATCTCTTGGTTCAACTCTCAAATATAGCTTCAGCCTATTTGCCGTGACAATTCAACCAGACTTAACCAGAGTGGAGAAACTCAAATAACTGTAGCTTCAGCACCACCCTGTGGATCTCTAAATTTATTTTGTACTGGCAAGAAAAAGCTAGTGAGAAAATATTTTGCTATTCCTTAAAAATTTTAAATTTTGAAAACTTTCAACCCTGAATCAGGACAAAGAAAGGTAATGTAATATTTGCTTAAATTATATTTTTATATTTTCTTCAATAGAAATTCAATTTCAAAGTTAAAAAAAAAAGAAAAGGTAGTTTTAAAGAAGAAAATCAGATTTTTTTTTCAATTAAGGAACTCCGAAAATGCAGCATTTTGAGAACTTCAAAATTTCCTTTGAAAAGAAAATAACTGAAACAATTCATTTTCTAAGCATTATTTCTCTTTCAATAAACTGGAATTTTTTTGGTGGAAAAGTTTCAAATTGGAAGACTCTCGCTTACCTCCATTTTGAGGGTAAAGAAATTTGACCAAATATAGTACACATACAGATATGGAGAGCATGCTGCATTTTCATGCAGACAGCTGTGATAATTTCTGCCAGTACAGAAGAACTACAATTATGGTAATATGTTTGTACCCATGAGCCTTTGCCCAGTCAAGAAAGGAGCAGAGCAAATAGAATCAATTCTCGGCATCAAAGACCACCTCCAAGAAACATGGCTACAAAGTGAGAGTAAAAAGGGAAATGGGAAAGGCAGGCATTATGTGACCCGAAGGACAAAGCCAAAACCTGGTGACATACTAGAAATGTTCCTCCTACTCCCCTACTCCCAGTCCAACTCCCATAACTCATTACACCATCAAGACCTGTAACTGACAGTAGAAGAAGAAAACAATAGGTACCAAGTTCTTGCAAACCCTCCAGAAATTTGGAGAGAGAACAAGTTAAGGTTACATTTCAGTGCAACTAGTCCCACTTAGCATACAATTTCCAGCGAAAGCTTCGCTGGCAAGTCTTGCTTCATAGTTTCTTACAAACAAGTTGACAGAGACCAGAGATGCCATTTAATCCTGTAGCCCCTAGTGAATAAGAGATCCCCCACACATAGCCAAGTGATAGTATTGCGCTCTCTTGACCCAACTATCGTATTTCTATACTTTGCTGCTGCCCAGTGCACACCTTTCTAAAATGAAGTATTTAGGAGCAATTAAAAAATAAAGGAAAATGTAAAAATAAAATATATTACGACAATCCAGGAAACCCATTTCTCACGGCAGCAGTAATGTTGACAATGACTCCTCCATGTTCCTGCATCCAGGCATTGTACACTGTATGAAGGAGGAAGATAACCTATAAATATCAGAAGAAATGTATACAATTGAACTTGTGAACTGGAAGCCAAATTTGGAGTCTTAACTCCAATTACACCACACACTTCCTGTGCAGATTTAGATAAACGATCTGCTCTTTGTACCATAGCCTCACCACTGGATTGGTGAGATAACAGGTGTGGTGCAGGTAAGGCTCAATGCTTGTCAAGAAGCCTTTTGGTGGAAATCAGGATTTCAGACTTCCATGTAAATTACTTTCATTTCCACGTTCCCAATGCTGTCTGAGAATCATGTATCATACTTTAATTTAACTTTAATTTTACATCCCTGATGGGAGAAAAATCTTTTCCTGCATTACACATAGTGAATACTGGCCACAGAAGTTAAGTGGTTTTCATATAGTCTTTTATCAAATGACTCCTCAAACTTGGCCTTTACCAGAAGATCATGCTTGCCTAAATGTACGTTTGTATGTCTGTATACATGAAAAAATGTACAGTCTAATGTAAAGCTTTGGATGAGATTCATGAAAACAAATACCCACTGTCAGATAAGTGTGTGAAAAGAAGGTAAGGAAACTTTACATTTCTTGTTTTCTGGTATTGCTGTAAAAAATGAAACAAATAAACAAAAAAAAGCTTAATGTTGAGTCCTTACCTGCTTTGCAGCAGTAGAAGGTCCCTGTCAGATTTGTGTCTATCACAGCATTCCAGCCTTTTGCATGGATGGCTTCAGAAGGACTTGCGAATTGGCCCCCTCCATTATTCACCAGGAAGTCAATCTTCCCATGCAGACTCAGTGTAGACTTCACCAAAGCTTCTACCTGAAACAGTATTTGTTAGTGTGGTATGCTGATTAAGCTATATCCTCAATTTCACCCTCAGACAGTATTTTCTCTCTCATATCCTCTTCACACATAAAGAGGAGGTACCAGCCTTCAGAGGGGCTGAAAGATCAGTATTACCAATTTAGTCAGCCAAGAAGGACTGGGCTGACTCCATGTTGACTCAGAAAATCTTCCTGGTATAATGCAGGTGCTATATAAAATACCAGCACTGAAAGAAAAAGGGGATTTAAGCTGCTGAAGGTTTGGAAAAACAAACACACACAAAAGCCTGCTACTTAAGACCTACTAAGAATTGCCTGACATTTTTCACAAGGGTTGGGGCATTCACATCAGATGCTGGAAGAGTTCTGTATAAGGTAGCTACTGTTTTTTTTCATCTGACCCATATGCCTGAGCATTTAAACTGAAAATGTAAGTAATCTTGTGAAGTTTTAACATTCTTGTCTAAAAGTTTTGTACATTCACTAAAGCTCTGACATACGAGTTGGCAACAGTCAATCTTCTTACACAGACCAAGAAGTTTGTTACCCTACAAAACATGAACTCTAAAACATGCTGGAAATACTACAACTTGTCTTCTTTAGCAAAAGGAAGGTGAATATTTGACTAAGCAGATACCTTCTGTCTATAAGCAAGATGAACACTCACAATTAAGAGCACTGCCTGGCACTATTTACCTTTGGATACTCTGAGAAGGTATTAACAGCAAATAGCAATTGACATTTTATTCACTTACTCAAAAGAGCTGTCAGTGCAGAAAAGGAGTGGCTTAAGTTCATATGGAAGGAAAGAGATTTTGAGAATCTAAATCCAGCTCTAACACTGACCTAATCTAAGCTACAGTCTGTTAGCTAAGCCTTTTGCATTGTTTTCTGTTTTGGACATACAGCAGTCTCACCACACACTCATACTAAACACAAGACAACATCTGGAGAGGAATGTATTTCAAAGCATTCAAAGATTTTACAGAAACCAAAGCTGATGTATTTTTCCTATTACAAGATAATAATAATAACTCTACAGCAACTGCTTAATAATTTAACCTTTATCTCCAGAAACAGGGGAAATGGGACAACATGACTGTTTCGTGCTTACACTACCTATCGTAACATAGATACCATGCATCACTTACTCCTACTCAAGCATATATAAAAAGTTAATCTAGCAACTGTGGTCAAAGAAAACACAGACCAAAAACCACCAAAAACCAAAAAGCAGGAGCAATGCTACTGCTGAAACAGATTTCACCAGGGGAAGGGTATCAATCAGCCTTCCTCTGTATAAAGTTAGCAGTAGAAAACATCAGAAATAAAAGAACAAGCAATGCATGACCTGTATCTCACCAAGAGAGTCACCAACTCAGTCTCACAAATAGCTGCCTTACACCTTCTGCTGCTAACAGTTCAGGATGATTTAACAGGATAGTATGGATCCTGTAAGGATGCACCTCTCTGAAGAAGAAAACCTAAACAAACATATAGTGACTGAAGCCTGATTGAAAAACTAACGCCTGCTGTGAAAAAATGCCTTAAGAAAATAATTTTGATACCGAAATCACCATCTTTAAGTTCTGAATGTCATCTTATTCCTCACATCAGTCACTGCAGCTTGTGTGATCTGAGGAAAAGAAAAAACACCAAAAAAACCCAGAAAATCTGTGACAGCAGTGCCAAACCCGTGACTTGTGAGAACCACCATGCCACAAAGACTTCCAAGTTTTCTCACAACCAGAGAAAAATAAGTTATGTCTTGCTAGGCAGCAAAAGTTATGCTTTGTTTAGCAATATCAAACTCTTTTCTCTGTCAGCCTGAGAATCTTGCTTGGAGTATTGCTCCCCATAAGTCAAGTATGGGCTCATTTATGGAAGAGAAGTAGTTTCAGTACAAGGAATGTTTGAACAGACTAAGGCTATTCAGGCTTGGGGGGAAACAAAAGAAAGAGAGAGAAAAGGGAAAATTCTAAGAATCGTAAAAAAACTCTCAACAAACAACAAAGTAACAGAAGAAAAATCCACTAGGAAGAGACATTACAAGGAAGTTTTCGACAGGTGGACAAAACCTGCTATGACATATCAATTCAAAATGGTTCACATGTTGTATCTTAAGAAACTGTTGTTGTTCCTACTTGTTGCACTATATTTTCAAGGCAATAGAAAAACGAAACAAAACAACCCGCATATCAGTTCTGCTTTCTGAAAGCCAGCAAAGGCTAGCAGGCTCTCCAGTCACAGCCCAGATGGCTCCAACTGTAGCAATCTTCACAATGTCTTCTGTGTTGTAGAGAAAGCATCGTTGCAGTGCTTCTCCCAATTGCAGTAAACACGGGTACAGCAGCCACCAGCACAGTGAGAAAGAGGGTCTGGTAGAACACATTTAAATCACAGTGAGAATTAAAGAAGATTACTTTCTATTCCTAAATATTCAAAATCAGCACAGAAAGAACTTAATAAAAAAGCTATTAAAGACTGTCTCTGGAAGCAAAGCAAAACTGCACAAGGTAGAGCTAACAGTTTAGGACGTTCTTCTGAAAAAGACCAAAAAGAACACAATCAGGCACTTCAGAAATAACCAGAAGATCAGTGCTCTTCAATAAGGACCTTTTTTGTGTGACTGCAACTCAAAAGTATTATGCAGTAGCACACTTTCACAGATAACCGAGATGACTGTACTCGCTGACACAGAGAAAAGGGACAAATGTCCACATGCATTCATGGGACACCTTGAACTTGAGTAAAACTCAACAGGCAAACTACCCACTGCAGACTATGAGAGATTTGCTATTTGGGGACTAGAACTAGTAGGCATTCTTGCACAGTGACAACAGGTATTTTTACTTTGTGTTATTTTAAAGTAAAACAACAGGAATCTCTTATCCACAGTGCCTCAACAAGCCACAGTCTTCCACTACAGGCTTCACACAGGCAGGCATTAAGTACTTACAAACCAACCGAGACTACGCTAAGCTATAAAGTTTATTGGAAAAGAAAACGTACTAGTGAACTCAGACACAAGGTAAGTGCTACATAGTACTGTATTGAGTCCATCTCAAGAAATGTTGTTTGTCAGATGTTCAAGAGATAGGTTTTACCCTCGGGGTCTGGTCCTGAAGCAGATGTTGCTGGAGCTCAAGTATGGAAAGGGTACATTGTGCACAGAATTCTGAATTGTTGATTTCAAGAAGAGTGGCATCCTACTAGAAGTGTAAGTTTGTATCTTACACTGACCTAGATATGTCTTCTATTTATCTAGATGCCAGTTAGAGAAATGTTTGTCCAGAGCATATAGCACAAAGGTTTTACAAAGGTAAAAACTTCCTCATGTCTTTCTTTCCTCTGTCAATAGATTTGCTGTAGCTCAACATTTAAGACACTCAAACACATGCTTCCCCTTCCTAACACTTACAAAGATAAATAGAAAGCTCTTTTCACAATGAAAAAAGGATGGAGTCTCTCTCCTCCACTCTGGCCACCATTACATTGAGGGACTGAAATTAATTAATTAGATACTTGGATTTTTGAAAAAAGAGCTTGGTTTGAAAAGACACACACACAGAGACAGCTGTCTGGCCTGCATCTCAGCAAGAGCAAACTGACCTGCTCTTGTTATGTTCAACACATTATGTGGGCAGTGCTAGAAAATATCCAAATAATTAAAATGACTTCAGCTTCATAATCACTAACAAGCAATATTGATCACTACAAACACTCCAGACCACAGGATAAGAGACAGGTGCACAATCACCGCTTCAGGATAAGGCCCCATGAAGACAGAACATAGAAACCTGAGGTGCTCTTACTGGCATCCCAGAACCCTCTATTCTTCCATCTTTAAAAAACAAAACAGGTTTGTTATCCTTTATAAAACACTCAATGGAAAACTAGCCAAAAGCAGCAGCAGCAAACTTGTGACAGAAATAGGCCTGACAGGTTATGCAGTAGTTGAAAATCCTCCATCAAGCAAGATTATTTCTTGCACATTAAACAAAAAGTAAGCTTTGCTAGAAAGCAAGAGGGCCTCTGAGGATGAAGATTAGGAGACTTAAAAATGTGAATTCATTAAGCTATTCCCATGATATCTGCCATCAAGCTTCTGCAGCAATTAATTCACTGCACCTTCTTTGACTCTTCCTAGGCCAGAAAGAGCTCTAACAGACATATTGCACTGTACGATGAGGTACGAATCTTTGAATGCTTGAATTTCACAGATCCAAACTAGGGCACACAAGAGCAATTAGCTGTGTCACCTTCAAAGCAGGCCAGTTACTTTAAGATTTGCAATAGAAGGCAAAAACAAAAATCTGACAATTTTGAAAGGAATTTCATCTTTTTTAGATCTCCTCTATTCAAAGTCCCTCCCTCCAATTTGCCTGATTATAAAAGTAAAATCAGGACAAAATTCATAGGGACTTTTACAGAAATGCAGAACAATTGATGGAGATAGAGGGATGAAAAAAAAAAGGGCAGGCATGCTACAGTAAGAACAGATGGCTTGTTCCTACAGGTGATCACGATGGCTTCCTTTAAGAGAAAGATTTACTCTTAGAAAAGTTTCAGCGAGATGTCAAAGAGACGGATATACTAAATGAATTATGTAGTTCTTCAGGAAGCTTCCTGGGCTTTGCCGCTTGTGATGGATCAGTTCTGACATCTAAGGAGGCTTGAACTCCTAAGTTTTTTCCCTTGTTGAAACATTTATAAGGTCTTTCTCCTCCACACATTCTTTGGTACCTAGTATAAGAGCTGAGAAAGAGGATGTAATGACTCACAGGGAATACTTGTAGAGGCTGTCGTCTTTACCCAACAAAGTGCTTCTGTGAATTTCTCAGGTAAATACTCTTCACTCATACTAAGCTGAAATCAGACAATGAGTCATAAAGCTATTACCGAGTAGTATACAGAGCCAACACGGTTGTACAAGTGTCGCTTCTTTCGGGAGGGAGGCCAAAAGTTTAAATGCCCTCTCACCCCATCTTCCACTGTAAACAGGAAGCTACTCCTGCATTTCTGAAAATGCTGAAGTGAGTTATATTGCTGTGTTGCCTCTACTCAAGATTAACCTCCTAGGCTAGAAAAATCCTTCACTACATCTTTTACTGATCTCTTTTCCTAAGACTCCAAGTTCCAGGCGCTAAATTTTAGGTTAAGAATAGAACAGGTTTTCAAAGTTGATGTATGATGCTCTTTGAATAGAAGTAAAAACCCAAAGGCACTTTTCCTCCAGTCTCCGCAAAGCAATCAAGTGCAAATTAGAACAAAGTATTCACCATTGCTGCTCTTAGCAATAGTGAGCAGTAGGTTGTGGAAAATCTGTCACATCCCACAGTTCTAAGTTCTGACAGTTTTTAGCAGTGTAAGTTACTGATTGTTAATTTGAGTTGATCCAGCTTCAAGTTACAAACACTAAGCACCTAAGCGTAAGGAAGTGCTATCTTCACTACAAATTTAAATGCTGAAAACATGATCCACACATTTCTGGTCCAATAGTAATTTCAGAAATTAATTAACAAGTGGTCAGGAATTGGGAATCTTTGAGAATCTCAGCATTAAAGAACTAAAGGAGGAGGACAGAGACAGAAAAATAAGAGCTAAATTAAAAAAATCACAGGATGTTTCTAACCAGTAAAAATATCTGGTCTTGGAGATGGGCATCTGGAATGGATAAATATTTGTTTAGTGGGTACACTTAAGTTCTTATGTTAACATGCAACAGAAATTGCATTCCTTATTCAAAACTTCCACAACAGACTTAGGAAATTTTCATAGTGATTTTTTTCTAAATAGGACTTCAACAGAAAGAAGTAAGAGCAGTTGGAGAACTGAAGTGAGACAAACTATAAGACTGAGTCAATGACTGAAAAATTCAAGATTTAATCTACCTTATTCCTCTGAACCCTCTCTTCAGTAAATACAGATCTGAAATGACAATGGTTTATGAGAACTTCCACCAGCAGGACACCTGATAGAGGCTCCTCCAATATCATATGAAAAGTTCCAAGAAAGTTCTGGTGTGTCTGTAAATGAGTACAGCTTAAAACTAAACTGGAAACAAGATAATTCTATGATGAAACTGCAGGGTAATAGCAAAGACAGAAGTTTCTCGAAGTATCAGCATGGCTTCTGGTAATACAGAATAATGCCTAAACACTTTACACAGCAGCACAAAAAAGGCTTTACAAGCATCTTCAAAAAAGTTTCCAATGCCATTTAAGACTGTTTTGTCAAATATGTATTTAGCGACACTTAATAAACAGGAAACAAAGAAGGAATGGTAGTTTGTTTACTGGAGATTACCTCATTTCACGATCCAAGCCCTCTACCATCTCACAGACCACTGCAGTTCCCACTAAGTCATTTTTAAACTGGTGCAGAAATAAGATTCACCTGCAGAAGGTTATTAAGCATGCCAGAGTACCTTCTGCATGAACAGTGACATGAAAGAAGGCCTAAGCCTTTTCTCTCTCTTTATCTCTTTTCTTTCCTGCAGCTTTAATCATGTAAGTTGCTCTCTGACATCTGTCATAACCTATTATATCACACTGCTGATGCTAGTAAATACAAACTTAAAATTCACTGGTAGGTGAAGTGACATACTGCACCACCCCAGGGTTCACCTCCTTCAGCAGAGAAAATCCGAGTATATCACTATAAATATTTTATGGCACGAGCTGTTCCATGAGGGAAGAATTTTATTTTTCATTTGCTTTATGGTTGTATATTAGGATATTTCCAGAATCTGCATAGCTACTGAACATCATTAGTATTTCTTTAAGTTATGCTAGAATTTAACAGAGGCTTTGAAAGCTTAAGAAAAATGCAGCAATCTGTTACTGGAATATTTTCTAGCTGTCTTCAATAAGTTAAAAGTCCAACCTGATGCTAGACTTTTAAAAGTCTAATTATACACAGATTAAAAAATTAGTACGTGAATGCAGACTTCTGAAGAACCTGGATTCAGTACTTTTGCTCTTGATCTTTCATTTTTTGCAATATGAAGAAAAAAGAAAAAGCTCAACTGGGAAAGTAATAATAGTTTGTAATAAGGCACACCTCAAATTGTAACCAAAATTTGAAACATGGCTAAAAATAATAATATCTGTTGAGTTTTTTTTTGCTTTAATACAAAGAAAACTGAGAGTGCAGGGCACTTGAGTCAAGTCACAAGCATTGAGATTCCATGCTATGACTTCCTGTTTGAAGGAACTATTCTGAGGTCTCCATCTTGACAAGTTAACGCCCCCTCACTGCTGTCACAGAACTGTGACAAAGAACCATGCTAAACGGGCTCTGGCTCGGCTGTGGAGCATGCCAGTTCCAAGGTCTGCTTCTCCCAAAAACATCTGAAATACGTATGCATGGTTAGAAAAATACTTGCAACTACAAATGCTTTCTTGCTTAGCTGGCTAACAAATGGTCTTCCCACAGAACGCACATCTTTATCTAAATCAGTTTAACAGTGCTTTACTCCATCTTTGCCCTGATCTAAAGCCACTTTTGAGGAGGCCAAAGACCACCTTTGGAGATCTGAGAATGTATACACTTTTGACATGTTAAGCCCAAGAACAAGATCACTACTCTTTACCTCATCTTCTTTGCGGATATTGCACTGTATGGGAGTCACTTTGGCAGGACTCATGGAAGAAAAAGTATTATTCAGTTCTTCTGCAGCAGCTTTTAATCGGTCAAATTTACGAGAGGCAATGACAACACTGCAACCTGTAGAGACAAAATGAAACATCCTTCAGCTAACATAGTTACAATTACAGTTATGCTAGTTTTTTAATAACATCATGGAAATATCTTGTAGGATGTGTGTTTATTAGGCACTGACTAGAAGATACAGTGTTGAAGTTCTTGCAAGAGAGAGAAATGACTGATGTCAGGTGCTTCTTAGCAACAAGATCCCACTGTGCCAGGAAAAAAGCAATCAAAAAAATGTGCACAAGGTTCCCTCTCCTCCTTCCTGCAGAAGGAAAGATAGCCTGTGAGTTGCAGAGTCAGCAAAGCAGCTTTCAGACATCACTTTTACTGCCTCTGCTCACAGCTGCATCATTTATCAATTACACAATTTAAAGATGTTTCAGCAGGTCTTGATTAAAAAAAAAAAGCTTGCTCCTAAAACCACTAAAATAATCTTACTGTAAGTCTGGCTGTAATTTTGACTAGCGGTGAGCAAATGTAATGGTCCGCTTTTTAACCCTACAGAGTCCGAAGGAAAGGATAACAGCCTCACGAGATTAATTCCTATCTGCAGACAGCAGGAACAGAGGCTTCCCATGGCACCGCCACACACTGTAGAACCCTAGCTCAGAAAGGAGAGAAAAAAACTAGGCAGGAGCTCAAGCCTTCTGTTTTTTTCAGCATTTAGTGGCAGAAAGACTCATCTACAGAGACAAACAATGCAGGTGCCAATTTAGTGGCAAACACTCACACTACAACCCATCTAGTTTCTTCTGTCACACCAGTGGACTCAGGACAGCTTAAGGTTTCAGCAACTGCTACGACATAGACCAAAACAGACCACACCAAATTAATTCCTAGTGCAAATCCAGTACGCATACAATTTCATATTACAGATAAGCAAATTACTAGCTTCCACTGCCAAGCAGGCAAGGAGGTCTTGCTCCCAGTTCTCTCCTTCCATAATCCCAACATCCCAGCAGAAGCCATCCCTTCCTCCTACCAGCTCTGCTGCTCATCTGCTTTAACATAAACCAATTCAACATGCTCAACCAGCCAAAAAAAAATGTTAACATTTCGCCAGGTGTTTTTTTTTTTTTTCTTTGTTGCTATTCTACTGAGTGGAATTTGGCTTCCCATGATCAAACAAACACCAGAATCAACTCAAAATAACTAGTGGGAGTAAAGAGCAGCAAGCTGTTCGTTTGGCTCACGCTACCTTGTGAAACTATACGTAAAGCTTAAAAAAAAAAATAAAGAAAAATAGAGGAGTTGAGTTCTTCCAGAAGGAAGTGCTGCAACTACATATCCCTAGGAATGGGAGCTTTACCTTTAATCAGTGGCCATCTTAAAACAACACATGTAAAGATATTAGATATTAGTCTCTGAGGTCTTCTGATTTTTTAAATTAAGAACTCCAGTCACTTGCACAACCACCTGACTAACACAGAGCAGAGTTCACAAAATGGCATACACAATTACCGATTAACACAAAACACTAAATCACAGTAGCACAGTTATATTTATCAACTTAAGTGCTTATTAATGCACACGCTGATATAGAGTAAGGTCCAGTAAAAGACTGTATTTTTGCTAAATATGCTAATCGGCGGAGAGGGAAATTCTAACTCACTGAGGAACCCTTGGTACCTACTGTACATGCTGACACTACTTCACTTATTTTTCTTCACAAAGTATGACCAGACCGTTTCCTGATAGCGTTGGGGGGAAAAGGGCACAAGTTTCCAGATGAAAGGTTTGAATCTGTCCAGAAGTCTTCAACGTAGACTGGTTATAAAACAATATACATCATGACTAGCATTATCTGTCACTGCTCCTACAGACATTCTCTGTCCAGCCAGCCCCTGCTCCAAAAATACAGCCTAAAGCACAAGGCATACATGGAAATAGTTCCCAGTCACCTTCTTGTCAGGAGTAGCCAGAAAGTCTGCAGATAAGGAAGGTTACTCAGACAGACTTAAGCCATAGCTCTTTCTTTATTTTCTCACATGTGCTTTGTAGAGATTCGCAGCCTTGTTTTCTATTTAGGATGTTATGGACACACACTTTTGTTATTTGTATTTTGCTTGAGAAAAATAATGCAGATCGAATTAAGTATAATTTTAAGGTAACTGGAAAACATCATCAAACAACAGTGTGATGATGCTTAAAAAGCACATCTTTAAGGCAGCATGTAAGGACACCTTAAAAAAATGCTTAGTTCCTCAGTAATACAAAGGTAGCAGAACCAGCCCTCACTTGAGCTCCCCAGAGCAAGTGGAAAGCTGGGGCAACAAAGGCCGGGAGAGGCAAAAATGTCTCCCAGCACACAGTCTTAACAAAGAGAGCTCCTACTATGCAGTGAAATGGCGTGGTGAACATTTCAACAGTGCAAACCATGGGGAGTGTGGCACTATGAGGCATAATGCTAGTGCTGGTATTTTGAAGACAGTGAATCCAGTCATGATAATAAGCATTATCTGAAACTAGTCTGATGCAAATGATCTCTATCACTTATGTTCAAACCCGCAGAAAAGGTGTTACAAGGTGGATGATTCAGAAGACTGCCTTTCACTCCGGATTTTATCACTTCTCTGTAACGAGCATGGAAGAAAAACCCACAAAGGGCACGTTGAAGATGTACTTTAACTTCAGGACATTACTGTCACAAGCACTGAGAGAGAAGCACCATTTCTCTAAGCTTACTGCACGCATAACAGTTCAAATCCATGCTACTCCGTAAGACTCAGCTCAACAACCAGATAAATCCTCCAGTTAAGCAAGATGAAAACTCACTTAAGAAGAAATATGAGAGAAAGCATCCCAGTTTAATAGAACTTCACGTTGACCGCTGATTTAAAATAGCGCATCTTTTAAGTGCCAGCGGGTCAAAAGACATAGCCCCACATCAACCTCACCTCGTTCTCCTCGCTATGCACTGACTCCAGTCACAACGTCCCACCCCTAAGCTCCTCACACACCCACTCCCC